GTCGGATTTAAATATTGAAAATCAGGGTTTTCGGAATTTCAAATCAATACAAAGATTTCAAACTTGATTCAAACAATACCAAGCAATACTTATAACATAAATGTAAACTTGTTTTAGTGAATGCATATCAAAGTTTACAATATAACCAATGCCTTGCGATGCATATGATGATATGTTTGGTTTTTAATATTTAAACACCCGAGGTGTTACCGACGGCTTGGTGGTGATTGGGAGCTTGGTGATCATCCGGAGAGCTTGTGGATGACCTCCACCGCCCGCTCCACCGCGCTCTGAATCCATGCTCGGCATCATGTATTCTGGCGTCGAGGTACTGGCCATGTCAACGCCACCTAGGATGCCCTGCTATACACGACCAGGCACCTCGGAGCCAAGATCTGTGGCGCCGAGACATGTTACCTCGGCGCCATAAGTCCTGGCGCCGACTCCCAGGGTCCAAAAATGAGTTTAAGTCTCTCAGAGAGTAAAACGTAAATTTTCTTCAAAAAAGAGACAAATTGTAAAAAATTGGGTGTTCTTTTGCTATGGCCTGGTCCAGTTCACATGTCGTGCGTGGGAGAGACTAGATGGCGCGAGCAATAACGAAAATGTGGATCTGTTGACGTGGCACATTCAAATATGCAGAGTGGCTTCAATTATGAAGAGTGTTGGCATTTTAGTATTATGGGGAGATATCTAGATCCTCTAACTATTATGGGGAGCTATCTATTTTAGAGATCCTCTAAATATTGAGTTTTGGAGATTTAGTTTACAAAATCTCTTGGAGATGCTCCTTTACGGGTGTTTCCGCCGGATCTAACAACTCAACCTGTTCGGTTGGCTGGTTCGTATCGTTGCTGGTTTGTAAAGAAGCACTACTGACTGGTTTGTGTGAGAGAAAAATATTATTCCGGTTGAAAATTTACGATCGTTTACGACAAGCCACAGCCAAACGAACAGGCTTAGTAGACAGATAAAACAACGCAATAATCAAATTTCTCTAGATCCTAAGGCTGCTGACGTCTCAAGCTAATGCCATAGACATTAGAGACAAAATGATCCTTTCTGCTGGTCATTGACGGATAATGGTGTTTGCTGTGGAAACTTGGTAGTGTCAAATTAGGCACAAAAAAATAAACCGGGTCAAATAAGAAACCATATCCATCTTTGGAAGACAAATAAGTAACTTTTTCTCCCTCTAGTAAAACAACGAAGAAAATTATCTTTATCTATGTACTTGAAGCAAATATATCATCAACCTTCACTTACAAAAAGTATCCAAAGGAACCGAAAAGGGCACAGAATCTTCATAACAAAAATTCAATAGCTCATCACCTGTTTGTGGATGTTTTTGGTTTGATACTTTGTGTCTAACACTTCATGAATTCATTTTGTTGAAACTCAATTATTGTCTTGAGATATCTTTCTCCAAGAAATAGGTCTGAAAGGGTATCACAGGTTGTTCTCTATAAGAAGCAAAACTCCCTTGTAATGCCATAATATGGTCATGGTTTGCTCGAAAGGAACCAATGGACTATTCTTCCATCTTGTCAACAGAACCCAACATGTAGTCAATATCTGGGGCGATAACAGCACGCTTGCTGATCTCCCCCACCGTACAGCAATGTTTTTCTCTGGTATTGATTGCTGCAACCTCCTGGACAAACATGCAATTCGAGCCAGATGAAACCTGCACAGTTTGTTAATGTGACTTCAGTACTGCATAGAAAACCTTAAACAGAAAATATGACATCTTCAAGTTTCGATCCTCACATCAAAGAGAGCGTCTCCAATCTTCATCTTCACTTTACCACTCCTATATACGAGTACTTTCCCCATATAGCCTTCAGGAATCTCTTTGAGTTTTGAGCCAATGTGCGATAATGGCCTCATGCCCTCACGTCTCTCATCAGAGACTACATTAGGGTCAGCAACTGATTGTGGCTGCCTTGGTAAAGGAAGAGAGGATGGAAACTGGAAGAAGACGAACTGTGATTCCGCCGCCCGATCCTATCAACACAAAACATGCATACCAGGCAAGATCAACAATGCCTGAAAAATCAAGCTGGTATACTTGGTCTATACAATTGACCTTACAAAGTAAACCCTGTGTATACGACAACTAGAGGGGAATTTTCATCCATACTCATTGAGGGGCATTCAACTATGCCACCAAGCTAGTCAACGATACATGCGTTCTGGTCCCACATGTCATTGACATAGACTGATGGCATAAGTGAAAAGTACACATCAATTGGTGGTGCAGATGAAAATATTTCATAACCAGAAGTGAAAAAGGTGTTGAATCTGCATGGATACATACCATTAATCCAAGCTCTTCTGCTGCAGGTAATTTAGCATCTTGAGCCCTGCTGGCAGAAGATTCTCCAAATTCTTCCTCATCCAGAATTTCTGTGTCAGCGATGTAGGAAGGGTGCAAGGGTCGGTTGAAGAAAATCTCTTGAAATTTCGACTGAAGACTATCAATATACCAGGATTTCCAGAGTAGGGCCTCCTTAGTGGGAGAGTAACAGGATAATCATGGCTATAGTCCTGCAAAAAAAAAAGGAAATCAATGAATAATTCTGAAGAGGAAGCAATCCACATTAGTAATTTGATATTTACACACCCATGGTTCTGCATATTCTTTTGGTAAATTCGAAGCTTCACCTGAATATGCAATGGAAACAAGGGTGTTAAGGTACAAAAACAGCAATCTGTATGGGATGGTTCGAGTCATGAGCAATGAAGATAAATATCTCACTGATACCTGCTGAAGAATCCTTTTTGGGCATGGGAAAATATCTTGCATAAGAAGAGTTTCCTTGTCCAAATGCAACCTGTGTACCACTTTTTGCTACGCCAACAGAGCAATACACTGTTAGCTAGGTGTGCAACAGAACAAAAATAAAAATATCACTAAAATTACAAAAAATATAATTATAAACACCAAAGAGAAGCCTTATAGTTATAATGAATAATCCATAACACTTAAGCAAGAACACACACACACACACACACACACAGAGAGAGAGAGAGAGAGAGAGTATTTTCTTTGTAACAAAAACCTTGGTTACCCTTTTATACTATATGTACTAAACTTCAATTCTATCTAATAAAAATTTTGGTACATGCTCTGCACAATGCATTTTTAAGACAACCTAATGCAGAAGTATGTCCCTGTATTAAATAGTGATAATCTCCCAACCAAAGCATACAATTATAGTTAGCCAACTCAGAGCACATCATCATTACATAGATGCAAACCAAATCACATGCTTGTATTTTATCAGCTCAAAACTACTTGCAACGTTGCAACAAATATTCTTTTAGGATTATTGGCAGAAAAATGCTTTTTTCAAGTGGAGTACAGAAGCTAAGTATATAACATAGTAAATAAGATTGCTCTTGCTCATATAAGTGCACGACATATGCAGTTGTTATGTTGGCAGTTTTTATCAAATGGTAAGGAATCAATCAAGCGTGTTCAATCGACAGCCTCAAAGATTCATACTTAGATATATTTATTAAAGCTAAAAATGTAAAACAGACAAGAAAATGCTAAGTGATTAATCAATAACAATTGATGACAGTAGCCTTGAGCATGTTCAGTGAGTAGGAAGTAGAAACTACAATTTTCACAGGTAGCGATAAGGTTTAGACTATAAAGCATGTGGTGAACAAAAACCAGCATTCTTACTCTTTTCCTCAGACTTAATTCTTGCAGAGGGATACTTGTTCTGCAAAATGAGGCAAGATACTGTATACATCAACCAATTCTCAAATGAAAAGTTTGTAAATACAAATAACTGCCAAAGAACCAAAGAGAACAATTAGTACCTGCGACATCTTAAGTTTCATCAATAACTCCTTATCCACAGCTTCCTCCTTGCTCTCCTCAACTGGTTCCCTGTCAAGTTACAGTAAAATCTCACTCCACATCAAAATTACCAACTCTGCAAATCTCAAATGGAAGACATCCAGGTAAGGAGAAATAAAAATATAAAATGTAGACTGAACCACATACTTCTTTGGGACAACCTTGGCAGGTTTCTTCTGAGGTACTTTTGGTGCGAATTTAAGTCCCCCCTTACATTTTCAAAACAACAACAACAACAGTAGTAAGAATAGCATAGAGCCACACTATATAACGAATGACCAAGGAAATGCCAACCTTGCGAGGAGGGGGTCCAAGGGGGCCATCAATTTCCTTCTTGACTTTGCTCTTGTCGTCCATGATAAGAAGTGTGAAACCTGCAAAACCTGAGGAGCAGACTGGTGTGAGTAAGCATCAATTTCAGCACTGCATTTATCTACAGATTCCAACCAAAACGAAAGATTTCAAATTGCTTTGACTCCGGAACGGAATAAAACATTAAGCTCCCAAGATTATCATCACGAACCAATCAGTGGCAGACCCAAGGGTATGCCTATATAACTAAAAATCCCTTATGCAACACTGTATAATCCGATACAAAATTTGGTAAACGGTTTGGTACCTAAAGATAGTGTATCAAAAAGATCTCATGATACCTTAAATTCAACAGAAAAGTTCAAAACTTACACAAACAACAATTAAATTGTTGAAACATAGGATAAGGTCTTACAGAGAACAAGCAAAAAAAAAGGGAAAATTGGATCCATACCATAAAAAAAACGTGTCTTTAGATGTATACCATCAAAAGAATCACCTTATGATACTTACCATCAAAAGATCACAATGCAATAGCTATGTACCATTCCGTTTGCTTCCGTTACAAGATCGTTAATCCCTTTTCCTGTTTGCCGATCACACATTTTTCAACTTCCGTTTTTGCCCTTGGGCAAACCAACACAGCCACGCGGATGGCCAGAAGCTTCGACTCGCTCCCGTGCGAGGAGTCGCGTCGTGGACCTCCAGTGCGCTGTGCTCGCCCCGTGCGAAAGAGTCGCGGCAGCGCGTTTCCCCGGCGGTGGCTCAGGCTCCATAGCAGCGCGCCTCATCGGCGGTGGCTGCCTCCTCGATGGCGCTGCCCTCTACTCCATGGTGTGTATCCCTGTATTCCTCTTCTTCCTCCCTTATTTTCCTGGTTCTAAACCCTAGTCTTTTCCCCTCTCATAGTGCTGAGCAATTGGTACTGATTTGAGCAGAATGGATCCGGCCGAGGTTCCGGATGGGTAAGATCTTTTTTTTTCTGTCTTCTAAGCCTCTGTAATTTATTGTAATTTTTATTTATCTAGTTTGCTGGTAGGTCACCGTCATTTGTACAGAACTTGGAATTGCAATTTTTTTCTGTCCTGAACTTGGAATTGCTATCGATTGGTCCTTACATTTGGTCTCCCTTCCATATGTTGGTAACTATTGTTGCAGAATTGATCCGAAAAGTGCATGCAGAGTAGAGGTCACCGTCAATGCTTACTTCACTATCAAAGACGGTAGAAGGGAGTACAATCGGGGTAGGACAGTAAGTTGGATTGTTGATTCAGAAGAGTACGCAATCATTGATCTAGAGAAAGATATTGCTCCATATTTTACATGGGGCAGTGACCAAGTGGCAAATTTCTGGGTTCGATCAGGGGATAATGCGACGTGCAAGTTGGCGTCCGATGCTCAGCTTCTTGACTTGCTAAGGGCATCTAGACTAGTGAAATTGTTCATGGTAGTGGGCAGACGTGAGCTGAATGTAAGAGAGGAGGAGATGTCTGCTGCAGTGAACACAGGAAAGGAAGAGATGCTTGCTGCAGTGAACACAGGAGAAGAGATGATTGCTGCAGTGAACACAGTAAAGGAAGAGATGCTTGCTGCGGTGAACACAGGAGAAGAGGATATGCCTGCTGCAGTTAACATAGGAGAGGAGGTGATGCCTACTGCAGTGGACAATGATTTGGAGACACTGGACAAAGGATTTGTATGGGCTGAAGCACCTAAATATGGGGAAACAACTGCAGGGCCACCAATGGCTATAGAGGAAGAGAATGAGCACTTTATGACTGCTGGGTGTGATCCTGATGGAGATGAGCCAACTGGAACAAATGAAGAGTGGAGGTACTTTAAAAATGTCGATCATGTAGTCATTGATCCAGTTGAAAAACACTGTTCCGGCTGGTATGAAAAATGTACTGTAGACATGCATCAAAGAAAGAGGGTTAGGTCTGTTCCAGAAATTAGAGACTTTGATAGTGAAGTTGTACCTGATGATGAGGCTACTATGCTTGATGATTTTCTGGCGCCTCACACATCACATGATAAAGAGAATCCAATCATTAAGGAGGGAGACACGTTTGTAGACAAAAATGCTTTTGTCCACACTACTAGGCAATATGCCATCAAAAATGAGTTAGAAACTATGATTGAACATAGTGACACAAAAAGGTACAGGGCAAGGTGTGCAGATCAAAATTGTAATTGGAGAGTGTTTGCAAAGAAACTACATGGTGGCAACACATTCATGGTGATCAAACTCTCTGGATTGGATGTCCACACTTGTTCCAGCAAGCAAGATGAAGGGTCGAGAGGCTTCCATAGCTTGGGTATCTGAAAAGGTGAAAGATGTTGTAAAGGAGGATCCCACTATAAGTGCAAAGAAATTACAGCTTATCAATTTGTGATCACTCCAATGGGTGACAAGACACAATGGCCAAATTTTGACCCTGGGTTTAAAATGATTCCTCCAAAGCTAGAACGGCCTGCTGGTAGACCAAGGAAGAAAAGAATCAAGGCTAGTGGAGAAGCAGGAAAAAGAGGCCCATATCAATGCAAAAGGTGCTTTCAGTTTGGACATATAGAGAAGAGTTGTACTGCTACTCAAGCTGAATTAGCCACCTCGTCCAAAAAAAACAAAAAAGCAAAGGTATTGTAAATAATAAATCATGCCTTATGTGTAATGCATTTTGTTCCCTGTCTAATCCATATTGCGCCTCCTAGAAAATCCAAATCTGAAGTTGTCGAAGTCTCCACTGTTGATGCTGAACCATCACAAACTGCTGCTGATCCAAAAGTGATGTCCAGTCCAGGTGTAACAACAAGAAGCATGTCTTCTCTTTCTCCGATCAGCCCAGGTCCTACAACAAGAAGGATGGCGTCTATCTCACCTGGAGGAATTAATCGTAGGCTCATTATTAGCTAGAAACATTACCTTTTCAACTCTAATATGTGTGTGAGCATGGCTGGGCAAGTGTGGTCTTTTGTCCAACTCTATGTGTGTAAATATGGTGCCGCTATGCAACACTATTTCATATTATGGTATTCAGCTGTATACTTGCAAACTATCAGCTATTATGGTACTGGAATGGAACCAAAATCATGATATATAATGCTCAAAAGTTGTGTTATATGTTGATGAGATATTATGTTATATCCTAGTGAAATAGTGTTTTACATGTTCTCTTATATCCTGTTATAATGCTGCTGAAATTGGGGCTGGAGTGCAGCTACATTATTGCTGGAGGGGAGTTGGAGTGCAGCCATGTAAATGTTACAAGCAAGGGTAAACTTGTCACAGTTAACGTCTGTTAACGTGTGGTTCACAGAAATGGTAAGGAGCTAGAAAGTTACATCTTTTGATGGTAAGCATCATAAGGTGATTCTTTTGATGGTATATATCTAAAGACATGTTCTTTTGATGGTATGGATCCAATTTTCCCAAAAAAAAAGGCACATCAGTGATCAGTCCTAAGCCCCAATCATATGCAGATATGTTTAGTGGCGGATCCAGAATTTACTTATTGCTAGGGCCTATATCTAGCGGTGAAAACTGATTATTATGAGCACAGAATTGACTCCAATAAACTTGTCCAAAATTTGGCGAAAAAAGAAAATTTTATGAGCATAAATAGCTGAAAATTAGACGAAAATATGTGCATTAACAGAAGAAATGCAACTTTAACATTTCCTTTACCGATTCACAATTTGACACAAGTTTTCAATATTACATAAAATATTTGAAGTATTCCTATCAGCCTTTCAGTTTGTAAGTCTGTACAAGTACAATGTCCCATAAAGAATCCCCAAAGCATAATCTTCCAAGAGCGTCCTTTTGCACATACACAGCTAACCAAACAACAAACTCTGAATGTCTAATGGAGCACCCTCTCACCGGCCAGCAAACATATTGATTTGGATTCCACGCACCAGAAGACTAACCCGCAGTGTTGCACTAACCTGATGCAGGCGCGCACGGCAGACGGCGCAGCAGTGGCTGGCCGCCTGGCAAGGCCGACGACCCTTCGGGCTTCGGGCGTGACGCGGTGGGTGCCTAGGGCCTGGGCAGTGGCGGAGGCAGGAGCGGCGACCTCGGCGGCCAGCGCGGTGGCAGCGTGGGCGCGTGGCGCGGTGACAGCGTGGCGCAGTACTATGGTGGTGGCGTCGGGCTTCAGGTGCGGTCGGGTGGAAGGAAGCCGAATCATGGTAACAGGGCAGCAGCCAGCAGGCCCTAGTCTTTTCTTGCTGGGCCTTTGTTTCTGGGCCATAAACTATATGGGGTATAGGGTGCTCTTGGGCCAACGACTAGGGCCTGGGCCCTAGGGGCCTTAGGCCCAGATCCTATGTTGAATCACGAATTCACATTTCACAATCCATCGATCACCAATTTCAGGCATACTAGAAAACTCAGCGCGGCTTTGCCGCGCCTCTTTGGAGTTCGCCGGTGTAGTTTTTTTATACCATTATTAGTGCAAAAGGTTGGGCTACGAGATCACCCACATTAGTAATATATAAGGATTTTGAAGTTGAGCTAAGTTGTCGTGGAGTCATGATTAATATTTACAGCAGTAGCACTATCAGGAGTTCAAATATTTCCTCAAAATATCACTCTTTGCCTTGCTCGATCCAACTGTGTTATACTACCTAAATTTGCATGCGCATATATACGTTGTTGTGAGGTGTGAAAAATCTGTACTACTAATTCTTAGAGTTGAATAAGGCACTTGAACAACACTTAAAGCACAATGTAGCATGTTGGAGAACAGGGCTCTTGTCATTTTTACCTCTGTATTTGTGTGCCCAGAAAAGGGCTATGAATGCAAGTAGCACCATACTTGGTATGGTCAAGAAAAATTTGTGGTCAGTTTCAGAATATTTATAGTATTAAAAATTAGTTAAGAAATCTGACTTGAGTAATTAGGAAACTATCAGGATTTCGTTTTAAAGCATCAGATTCTGCTAATACATAGACAGAGAAATCTACACATTATTTAGGTAACCAAAGGCTTTTACAGTAGATAAAATATAATTCTTTCAAACAAGTAAAAACTGGACTATGGATTTGTATGCTGATGGCAACTCAAAATAAAAGCACATGACTTTGGACAATTGCAGTATTTTAATTTTTGACATTTGTTTGAAGCCCAATTAAAAGCCTGTTACTTCGCCAAATTACATCTCAGCTGCTAAGTTCAACTGACATAATAAATTTCATAGGCTTAAACCTTTGTGCATTGGAAATAGGCATTTGGAACTATTAGTTTATTATATTTATTGTATCTATATTAGGAGTGATTTTAGGGTCAATGAAATTGAGCCGCTAAAAAGATAATAGAACAGTAGAAATTGAAAGGTTAGATAAGAAGAGCTCTTGGCAAGAACAGCCTAGAGGAAGTCGATTAATCATGGATATTTTGCCAGTTCAGCACCAAAATATAGGAATGAAATTTATCTATTGATTTGTTTGCATGCTAACATTTCCATTAAATAGCACAAGCTTGTAGATCAATTGTGAGTTATAGCTGTATGCCATGGTCTACAGGTGGGAAACATAGGCTCAGACTGCACCTGTATGTTGTACAGGGTAAAATTAAAAATGAAGGGCAAATTCACCAGACATCTTGACCGCAATTACAAATCTAGGGACTACGTCAAGCGAATAACAGAATATTCTTACTCCAAATGTCTCTTCAGACTGTCACAGCCTAGTAGACAAGCGTTGAAAGGAAAAAAAAATGCTGAAGGACATGACACAGTCACACACACTCAAACAACCATGGACCATTATATTTACACATCCCAAGATTAGATATGAACACCTCAGGGCATTCCAAGTTTGTCTTTCCCATGCCTAAAATCAAGTGGTGTGCAGCATAGAAGCCAGATCCCTTGCTGGAAATAGATTACATAGGTTTGTTCACATGTAAAAAAGTAACCATCAACATATTGTAATTATATTGTAAATAATGTGCATTAAATTTAGTGTTTTGCAAAAAAAAAATCCAGTAGTAACATAGCAGGTCAGGAAGATCTATTCAAGTAATTCAGTGTTGATCAGAAAAACAGGAATCCTTATAGCATTATGTGTCATCCTCAAAAGATATTGCTTATAACATGCAGTCTTGTTATTAAGATGGGCATGCCAGTAATAACATGTAACACTGCTATACAACTGAAAACTACTGATTCAGATCATACTTTTAGAAATTATATTCCAGGATACAACTACTGTAGGCCTAGCATTTGAAGTAGGTCAGTAGGAGTAGCACTAAGTTAAGATGTAGATCAGATTGATCCCACTCCAGCAAATTGTGAGGTCAAAATGGGGGCCAGAATTGGAGCAACTGTGGCTAAGTACTACCTAGCTACTGAAAAGCCTCTACAACCACCACTGTTTATTGGCTTGTCCGTATTCATGCTACGTGAGTTTAGTCACCATCCAAATTTGAGGAACGGATTAATTACATAACTATATTCTATAGCAGATGAGGAGCAGTCGTGGATCTAAGACAGGAATAGTATGATAGAACACATACTAAGTTAAATGGGATGCCTCAATTGTCGTAATTGAGAATAGTATGATATATACTAAGACAGGAATGGATGAAGAACATATTAAACCCCAACATGAATAGGTAATCTCGTGCATAGCTAGTCATTCACAAAGCATATCAGATGATCTATGTATCAATTGTCCACTAATTTTTCTGCCAATGCAAAATCAAGCATGCTGAGTTGAATTTTACAACTCAAAACCCATAGAGTTGCAAACAAATTAAGCAGCATTTTCCATCTTTAATTCAAACACATTCAGACATAAGAAATCAACTGCGTGTATTCTCTGATTCAGGTCTGGAGTTTCATTTACCCATACTGAACTACAGTTTTACGTTTTATCAGAGAGTTTAAGATGGGATATTTTGGCGCACCTTTCCAGGATTGAAGTTTGCAGCTGCAATTGGAGCTGCGGGTACAGTGAATATCACCAGGCACAGGCCGCCGAGCCGGAGGAAGAAGGAGCCTAGAGTCCTTGCTCGAAGGGGACTTGGATCTCCAGCCCGAGGTCCCAACTCGGCCCGCCGAAGACGAAGCCGCTGCGGCTGCCCTCCGCCTCCTCCTGCGCCCTACGCCGACGCAGCCTCCTCCTGCGTCGTCTACACCATCCTCACCTCCTGACCTAACCAAATCAGCGCCATGAGAAACAAAGTACGCCAACCCAACCCAATGTCGGGCAAAACGAATCAGTGCAAGGAGCATCTCTTACCTGCGTCTTGCTCGCGAATCGCTACACTGGCTGCTGGAGAGTCGAGGGCGGGAGAGACGGCGGCGCACGCGATA